TGCTGATGAGTGACTACTTATGGCTAAGGCAGCAAAAAATAGGATCTTAAATGAGTTCAAAGTGCTAAGTTTCCCTGCAGAAATAGTTTCATGAGAAAGCGTCTCAATATTTGTGCTTTCAGCAGCGAAGCAGGCACAGACACAGGCTGCTGCATCCCTGCCAGCCCACTAAAGAGAACAGATGTTGTGCTGTTATGTACGCAGGGTCACATCGAAGGGGGAATGATGCTTCTGCCAGCATTTCGCTCTTAGTTTCAACCATAAACAGTTTACACTGGAGACATAATATTTACCTTTGTTACAGTTAACATATAAAAATTGGTTACGCTGTTTTCATGCGCACGTTTGATCCGCAGCCTGCACTCTTCTTCATCAATTAGCTCACCAACGTATTCGTTCACAAATTCACCCTGGAAAGCCAAGGAAAGCAAAAATAAGAAACCCATCCTTACGGTTTCTAATGGTGATAAAGGGAACCAGCACAGAAAAGAGCATTTCCTGTAAAAATACCCTCTAACCATCACAAAAAGCATTAAACTTTAACCATGTAGGGAAGATGTGAGTGTGCATCAGGTATTTGCTGTCTAAGCAACAAGCCCACTCAAAGTAAAACAGCAGCAGAGCCAAGCGCTGCTGCTGCATTCACTGCACAAGCTGGACTTGACAGCTCTCGAGTCCTGCAAAGTCTCACGCTTCCTTTTAAAAACCACAACGGGATTCATGGACTCCTAAGGAAACACAGACTATGACAACTGCTGTACCTTCTTAATGCTCCGCTTTGTCCGCAGCCCCCAGCCGCGCCGGTCGGTTTTGATGATCTCGGCATCAGGGTACAGCCTCTTGGTGAAGCACTGGTTCTGGCAGCGCTCCCCGGCCGGGCACACCTGGGGGTGGCACTCATACTGCAGCATCCTGTTGAGACACTCCGACTCCAGCCCGCACGGGTTCTCGTCCGACGGCTTGCAGTTACAGCGTGGGATCTCGGACAGATCCGCCACCTGGATCTGCACCTTCCCTATGACCTTGTGAAAGAGTGCGTGAAGATGACGGTGCACACAGAACACAAACTCAGCAGCTTTACTGGAGGCCAGTCATCAACTGACAGGAGAAGGCAACAAAACCACGTCATTATCTTTCTCGTAGACCCTTTTGCAGGTCAGTGTGTCACATTTATGCTTCCTGCAATTCAGCAGCAATGTGTGCACTTTTACACGTGGCATTTGTAGCCACTCAGCTGCAACGGAACTGGGGACATCCACTGCTGGGAGAAGAGCAGTGGGCACTCCTACAGAGGTCAGGGCTCACAAAGCTCGGTGAGTATCTAACACACATGGAATGAGCTCAAAACCAGCACCATTCCACTTTAGGTAAAACTGCTCCTCAACCATTAACTCTTTCACCAATACTCTGCTAAAAGAGTGTTTTATGGCACTGTAAGACAGAACAAAAGACTCCTGAATAGCAAAATTATTTATCTGAACTTCCTTAAGCTTGAATTGTTGCAAATACTGCTTTAAATACACAGCTTACCAATGCACAGAATAAAAACAGGAACAGAAAGAAGCCAACTCACTTTGATGTGTTTATAAGGTGGAGGTTTCCGTGAATTCCTTTCAATTTCCAGTGCCTCTTTGCTCTCTCTTTGTGCTTTCAGCTCCTGGAAGCGCTTTGCCGCTTCTTCAAGTGCTGTGCAAGGGAGTTCAAAATAGAAAGCAATTAGCACCAGCCGCTGTTAATCAAACATATACATTTATGTATTTAATTTCTTTTTTTAAAGCTAGGAATAGAACTCTATAAACAAAAACACAAGCTAAAAAATGAGTTATTGCAGCAGATCATGAATTTATCATCAGGCACTTTTCGGGAGGTATGGAGGTACTGAACAACGATCCCATGCAGCCGAGCCCAAGCTCCATCTTCACGGTTCCCGGTTGGTGGGAGAACTGCCCACACCACCACACGATGAGCAGGCACTTAAAGAAACACGTTTTGGTCTGCAGTCAAGGGACCTACATAACGCTTGCAATTTTACGTGAACACAGAACACTCGGCACATAATATTCCCATGCAGTTAAGTGGTGATGGAGACACAAACAGGTGGAATTTTTGTCATAAACCGCTATAAACTTTGTTTGATTTTACCTTTCTTGAAGGTCTTGTTAATACTAGTTTGCCCCTCAGCAAAGCTTTTATCTCCTTCAACATAAGGGAAAACTCTGCCCTGGTGTACCCAATAGTAGTCATGGGAACCAAAGAAAAATACTGGGAAGTCCCCGATATCATGTTTGAGGCCCTGTATGTTGAGAGGCACAGACCTGGGATTGCAGATCTCTGCTGGCCACCACCTGGAAGGCAGAGAAAAAGAAGAATGTAAGTTCTCTGAAGTGCAGCCTGGCCTCTGAGTGTTTTGAGTTCACTGAAAGAAAAGCCAGTTTTCCTTAAAGAAATGAACTCCTTCCTTATGCAAACAAGGCTCCCTTCAGCAATACCTGGGCAAACACAGGATTTTGGAAGAGCCTTTTAAGAACACACATGGCGCAAGAGCGGACCTGTAGGATCACCCATCAATGCTGGCATTCCCGCTGATGACTACCAGCAAACACAAGCCAGGGCACCCTGGTTCTACAGGACACCCCTGGGTTTCTGTATCGCTATTGCGCTTTGCGCAGCAAATGTGAGCGCAGCCAAGCATGCACCGCTGCCAGGAAAAAGCAGAGTTTAAAGTAAAAAGCAACATCAATGTCTGACACAAAGCAGACGAACGACTGCACTTGTAGCTCTGTTTACAAAGACTGAGCTGCTTCCAGTTGTTTCCCTGTAATTCTGTTGCATATTAAGAAAATCCAAAGCGTTAACAAACAAACCAGCGAACTTGCCTGTAATTTCCAAGCTTGACCCAAACGATCTGCTTGTAACGCAGCTTCTTGCCAGCTTTACAGTCATTGCAATTCCAGCAGCCCTCGGGCATTTCTATGTTGAGACACTCGGGGTGAAAGGAAGCTGGGCAGGACTCACAGCACAAGAGTTTTCCACCTTCAAACAAAGAAACCCTGCTCGGTTTATAGAAGTTAGGATTGGCTCCCCCCTGCACACAGCACTTGGTGTTCATCTGAAATCATCCGCTCCACATTCTCGCTTGCCCCACATTAAAAAATGGCAAAGAAAGGGATGCAGTCCAAGTTGACATTGGTTAAAAAAGCCCGTGCAGTGAATCACCTGCTGTGCAGTTGTGGCTCAGAACCGCTCCACAGATGCACAAGAGCAGCCGAGTATTTCTGGATGCGATGCAAGGAGCACTGCCAGGGGAAGCACCAGCTGAGAGCGGCGCCGCTGGCTTTGGTTGCTTCTGTGGTGGCCAAAACTTCGGTTGATTTGTTTGGTGTGACAGAATAACCAAATACTGAAGAATGGCTTTTTCAATCAACATCGCCATGACTGGATCCCCCAGCGCTCAGTTAGTGTGCATGGAACCCCGCAGCCTATAGGTCGAGCAATGCTTTTCTGTGCCAAGGACGTTGCAGAGACTCGTAACAAGTCTGCTCATCCTCAAAAAGAAGTTCACCAGCACAGTGTGTAGTGCAGAATGAGACACCACCAGCTGATCCCATCCCAAAAGCTCCTTTAGCACACAAAGGCAGCCTCAGCGCAGTGGTTAACGCCAATCGCTGCAGTTCACTCGTGTTTGGACAAACGTTTTGGCTGGCTTGTATTTTGGGAGATGTATCCAATGTGGAAAGCCACAGCACACCTCTAGGCCACGCTCAGCAAACCAAGCAGCTCGTAAGACTCGATACGTTACACATATTGCAATATTTTATATATGTAAGTATCTAAAATACAAGTACACGTTTTAATAGAGATACCAATTTTGAAAAAATTAACAGGTTTTTGTGTCCCAGATGGAAAATCTGGGCGAGACTCGAGAGGATTCAAAGCCGTTTTCAAGCGCAATCTGAAATGAAGTGTGAATTGTGACCTTCATTTACCAGAAAATCTTGTCCACCTATAGACTTTCCAAATCGTCACTGCATTAACTGTTGTAGCACGTCACGATAAGCATTCCTTCAACAAACCAGTCGCATGACCAATCCTGTATTTCCTCTGCTGAAAACGGTACAATCCAACCACCCCAATTTCCAGAGCTCCCCAAACCCACGGTAGCGTTTGAACTTTTGAAGTATTTTTTTTGCAAGCGTTATGTCAGAGGAAATACAGACCCAGTGCAAATTACTGAAACATTGTCCCACATGGTAGAATGCCAAGAGATGCAAAAATCAAACAAAATCAAACACAAACCCCACCACGTCGCTCTCGGGATGCATTAGTAAGGTATTGCTCAAGCTAAGCAGAGGGCTCAAAATAATTTGTGTTTCCAGGAATTACAGGAGCTACTGAAAGCCGTCAATCTAGCAATGGTCAAAATAACCTAACTGCAGTGGTCATAACTGGGCACCGTTTCTGAGCGCTCTCAGGAAATCAAACTTCTGTGGGGAACAAGATACCACGTCTGAGTGTTTCAGGCGGACAAGAGCGACGTCCCCAAAAGGGGTCTGAGATGCTGCAGCGCCCCCCACCAGAACCAAACCCGCTGCCCCCTTCGGCTCCTCTGCATGGACAAGGACCCACCCCACCCCAGAAATCCTCCTCTCTCCTCTCAGACTCTGCATCAGCTGCCTAAGAGACCTGAAACAGAACATGCCCCTCTTCTTCCTCACTTACAGTCAGTTGGTTTGCACTGAACTGCAGCAGAATCACTGCCCTGCGAATCCTGCCCCGCAGCTGGAGCAGCCTAGGCCAGACACAAAGTGCTTTGACCTCTCTCAAGCAGAATTTAGCCACAGCAATTATTTTAAGCCCTTTTGTCATTTTAAAAAAATAAATAAATAAATAAATTGCCAACGACACGAACACAGGCTCACAATAATCAATGAGTGAAGTTCACTGGGAAGCAGCAAGTGGTGCTTGACAAGCAGACATTTCTCGTTTGATTTCAAGAGAGAAATAACAGAAAAAGCGAAAGTAAATTAAAGAGAAGGAAACTATTTGGTTACCTTTCTCACATTTCTTTTTGGAAGCTGACGAAGGAGGAGGAATCATAGGTAATTTCATCAACTCAGCACGATTTGATTCATTCAGTAGGTAGTGGGACTTATAGGCATATGAACTGAACAGGGGGTCTGAATGGTCCTGCACTACCAACCCTATACGAAACAAACAGAAAGAGATGAGTTGCAATGAAACTACCCATGATTCCAGAAAGGAGAAAATAAATAAACCAAATGAACACCTCTGATGCAAATATGTGTGAGTGAAAAAAAGATAAAATGAAGGAAAAGAAAAGTCTGACAGGAAGTTTCTTTGCTAAGAAAGAGGTTACGTGTTGGAGAGACTGAACTCAGCTTCACTGGGAAACCTCTGATGGATAAGCTGCTTTCCCATGGAGTTTCAATTGTGTTTTACCCTTAAGCTGTGCCTTCAGAGAAAAGCACAAGAGAAGCAACCGGTTCTGTACCTGTGTGTCCCATCCTCCCTAATTCTGCTCCCGAGGGCTGGGGGGTGACGCTCACTGCAGTGGTCACGCTGGGGCTACAAACTGAAGAGCAGACGTTGTACACGAGAACTCCCCACCCCACTTACGACAGCTGTAACTCCGAGACCTCACATCTCAGAGGTTGGACTGGATGATCCTTGAGGTCCCTTCCACCCTGGTGCTCTATGAGTCTATGACTGATTCTATGATCTTATCTACTGAAGGGCTTTGCCTTCACAGTTGTGTCCACCACGGCAGGGCTGTCAGTGACTGCGCAAGGCACCAGAGGGGAAAGAAGGGATGAAATCCCTGCCCTATGCTGCTTGTACGTGAAGCTCCACAGACCCTGCCCTCCCACAGCTGCTCTGGACCCGTCGAGCGCTCTGCTGTCCTCCACGCCGTTATTTTCAATGATGAGTGTGCATTTCTCTGCCTTTCTCCACCAAGAAGAGCTTTTCCTCATTGCTCCAGAGCCCTGCAGCTGCAGATCAAAAGCACATGGGCAGTAATTCATGGGAAGAGCCAAGCAACTGAGACCAGAAGATGAGCTACAGAGACGGCCACCAACTCTCTCCCTCATGGGACACACAGAGCAGCTTCTGAACTGGGGCCGAAAGCCTGCTGTGAGGAGAACAGCATCAGCCCCCTGGAAAGCCTGTCCTCAGGATTCACAAAACGTGTGTGACCTACACGTGCATGGCAACTCCAACGTGCTTCATGGAGGGGATGCCAGGAAGGGGAGTAAGAAGTCTTAAAATACACTGTGTTTCAAGTACCTCATGATAAGCAAGTTGTATTTCATAGACTGTCTCATATCTACATTTTCTCACTTATGTTTTGCACTAGAGTTTCTCCTTCTGATGTTAACTAAAACCAACGAAGCAATCGCCCTCGCAGAGATGCCCGGGCATTTCTAGAGCATTCAGTCCCTGTTTGTGAGCAGGTGCCCTCAGTGCTGCTGTGCTCCCTTCGTGTCCCTCACGCTGACCACCAGTGACCTCCAAAGGGCTCAATGCCACCCAGCGAGGACACTGCACACTCTCTCTTGGCAAAGCACACTGACCCCCGATTCCAGCTACGCCTCCAGAAACAAACCCCACACAAGCTTCCTAGAAGAGCATCACAGAGTCGCTGTCAAATGCAGAGGATGCGGTCAGTGGTAGCGGTTTGCCACTTCTCAGGTTCTCATAGCTAAGCCTTGGTGAATACACAGCACAGCAAAGCCCAAATGCTGGGCTTCAGAGGTCACTCATATTGCCAGAGGAAAACACGGACTCGTGGAGTTTCATCTCTGATGGAGCCAGATTCAGGTACAAACAGAACTACTAAAACAACGTCTCATGGGGGAAAAACCACACAAAACAACAACAAAAGCATGACAATTTTCTTCTGCACTTCATATGTTTCTCAGAAATAAATGCAGCTCTGCCTCTTCAGCGAGCGTAAGACTCCCTTACTGCCATTCACCCTTGGAATTCCACTCCTGAAGCCCGATTTCTGTGCCACGTACATAAAGAGGATGCCAACCAGCAGGTATTCCTTTTCATGAAGCTCTTAAATAGGTTCTGCCCGAGAGAAGTAGGAGGCCTCTGTTTGACACCTTTGTGACACAAAGCAGCCAGAACTTGGAGAGAAAACTCCCCAGGATATTCACCCTCACACGTGTGTTTCACAAACAGATCTGTAATCTAGAGTAGGTTCTTCTGTGATATTTGGATTTTAAGTCAGCCTCAAGGAGCTGCAGCAGCTGGCACAGGGCTAATGAAGGATAGCTTCAAGGAAACCGATGTAATCCTTCAGAAACATGCAATGTTTGGATACTACGGCTTGAGAGTGCTTTGGAATGGACAGAAATCAAACTACTCGGGATAAATCCAAAGGCAGAAGCCCGGCATTGCTTTCCCTTCACATCTCTGCACAAACACAGCATCCACACCTCAGAGCAGTGGCACTCGCGGTTCTCCAATGGCCAAGATCCTGTGCCAGAGGACAAGGCATCGTCCCACCACAACCCCCACCTCAACAGAACAGGGCAGACCAACGCCACCGCACACCTCTGACCTGACCCTCAGAAACCTGTGTCTGATCCCGCTACCAGGATTCTGACTTCATTTTAAACCTGATTGATTCTTTGTGACTGCTCCTCGATTACTTGGAAATGAGGAAAGGGGAAGAAACGACAGAGGTGGAAAGGAGATGATCCTGGCACTGTTCTCCCTTCCCATCCCAAGGTCTTCAATTACTGCTCTGCTCCTGCACATTCAAGGCAATTTTTCCCCATACTAAACCTGCAACTGACTGGCCACAAGTGACTGCAGGAGTCCTCTCATTTCCACTTCCTCATCAGTGATTTTCAAAGCTGCTGAAAAGAACACATCCAACAGACTTTTGAAATACTGCATGAGATAAATATTATTGTTAGACACCTAACGCTTGGATTAATCTGAGAGAGTAACACCGTTCCTGCACTGTGTGACTGAAGCAACCGATGCACCCAAACTTTTCAGCCTGCTGCCTGCAGAACACTGGTGACTTGAGAGCCACAATGGTCACAAGTGGGAAAAGAAAAGAAAAAATGGCATATGGAAAACCTCAGCATCCATTCCCAGCTCGCAATGGCTCAAACTGGGGCTTGCAATCCCCTTTTCCTACTGGCAACACAAGTTGGCCTTCGAGTACCTATCGCTGCGGCTGAGTATCAGCCGTTACAGACCAGAACAGCAAGGGGACGTCTCACGAGAACTGTTGACCACAATATTAATCCCAGGCAGCATTCAGATCCCAGAGATCCCTAAGGGAGTTCTTCCTTCATGAAATACAGTATTTTTATCACTGAACTGCACAAGTGACCACAGAAGAACTGTAAGACGGGAAAAAACAAGTGTGCTCACCTCTTGCACAAACGAAACAAAAGCCTACATTTACAGCTGATGAGGAGTGACTCCTTTTGGAATGGTTACTACAGATGAGGATGTGGGATGACACAAACAAGCTCCCCGCAGCGATGCAGCCATCTCCCGAGTGGTAGGCGATGGGGCAGCGCAAACACCTCACCATGCGACCTGTGCAACAGAACACAGAGAATGCACCGTGTCACCCCGGGGCTGGGACGTGGGGGAGACACCACAGGCAGGTGCAGGGTGAATTTTATTCCCACAGGAGTACTGGGTTTAAAAGAAACATTAAAAGAAAGTTTCACAAATGTTAACTTCCACTTTAAAACTCTAAGACAAAACACACGGATTTAATCATTCTAGAGTCTGCCCGTTCTGTTGAACTATGGTGGTGAATTTCTAATAGGATTCTCTTTTTCTTCAAAAATCCTTGTTCTGAAGGCCACTACCAACTGTGTTTAATAAAGCCATTCCTTGGCCTTGCACTACTAATCCTTGGCTGCCATAAACCCAGCAACAAGTGTGGTGGATCCAGGCACACTTGCACATAGCTGCTTCCCACCCACAACAGACTTAAATTAATGACCTCTAACAGGGGAACCCTCGTTCCTCGCCGCATGCTGCATTACAGAGGGTCCAGTGATGTTCACTGCTCTTGTGAGGACGCACTGAGCTCCCTGCTGCTGCTCAGAGCCGGCTCTGCTCTCACCTTTGCTTGCTTTATGGATGTCCTTGTCCATCGAGCAGGCGGTACAGCAGTGCTGCGGGCAGCGAAACCCTCGCGACTCGAAGAGGGCGGTGGCAAACTTGCGCACGCAGGCCTCGTGGTAAAATTTACCGCACGTGTTGACGGAACAGCGCTTCACGTCTTTGCCGGGAAGTTTGCAGGAAAAGCATGTGTGTTCTCCTTGTAAAAGAGGAGATAAGGGAGCCCAACTGTAACGGCAACGCTTTGAGATACAGATGCGGTCAAAGACAACTCTGCAGTAAGAGTGATGCTGCTGCTTTGAGCAACACAGGCTCCTTCCCTTCAAACAGGTCAGCTGGTCACTATAACCCACATGTAACTGTATACTGCTAACATAATACATAATTGTTAACAAAGAGTCCCTTATGCCGAGTAAAACCCTGAACAGTTGGTTCCTTTTTTTCTTACCAGGTACTCGCTAAGTGGAAAAACAAGGATCTGACCTCAAGGGTTAAAAAAGGCACAGAATAACCCAAGGCACTCCCCACACCTGGATATTCACCATCTCAGTTTGTCCTGAGCCAAGGGGGAAATCCCTCCCCGCGCTCCAGGCAGAGCACTCACCGTTTTTACACTCGGCGCAGACGAATTTCTCATCGGGCATCGCCTTCAGGCCGAGACACTCCATGTGGAACACGCTGCAGCACTCGCCCTCGCAGGGCACCAGCGACTCCCCAGAGCTCTCGCAGATCTGCACCAGAGAGACAGCGGCTCTGAGAACACAGGGCACCCACAGACCCACACAGCAGGGATTCAGGAGCCTGTCAGCCAGACCAACAGACGACACAGCTTTAGCGTTGATGTCTTTACAGCGCCAGCACCTACCTGACAAACGGTGTCTTTCTTAGTTGTTCCCGTCCCTCTCCGGGATAAGCTGGAGTCCACCGACTGCACGTCAGAAGCATCGGCATCGGCAGTGGCTGAGGGGCTGTCTGAGCGCTTTCCAAAACTACCCTGCAAAGAGAGGAAACCCAAGGCACTCAAGACGCCTCCAAAGGACAACCACGTTCCGAAATAAATGGTGAAGTCACCACTGATTACAAGCTCAGTCAACAGCTCAGGAGACACCAAGGCCCTTGAAAGCTGCTGAGCTTCATTACAGTGACACAAGGAGTGCTGCCTTCCTGACACCTTTCACCTTCTGTACAAGCAAAACCCATAAAGATTTCTATTGTAGCTTTTCCAGACACCTCTCAATTTACACCAAAACACGGCAGCACCTCCCAGTTCCCAAAGCATCCCACAACCTTCCAAAAAGCAAATCAAATCCATAATCTAAACCAATGTCCTGCCAGGCAAAGCAGTAGGAAGATTTGTAAAGAAAGACTGTATCTTCTTTTAGATCACTGCAATCAAGGGGATTAGAAAGAAGACTCAGCTTTACAAGACAAGAACTTTGTAGAAAATAGTGTTCAAAAGTTGAGTGATATGCACCTGAAGAGCCCGTTACACTGACACTAAATGAACAAGGCCCTGTGAGATGCAGTGGCCTTTACCTGTAAATCATTGAGTCCTCTTGAATCGGAGTCGGACGTGTCTCTGTAAGCGGAGCTCGTCAGTTCCACGTCGGTCGAGGCGCGGCTCCTTTTCTTTAAGGGTTTACAAGAATCTGAAATCTCGCTGGCACCTTAACACAACACACTAAAATTAGTTTTAGTAGATGTTCTCAAGGTTTTGCTTAAAATTAATACAGGAAAAAGAAACATGAGAGACAGCTGAACCTGCACATTATTTGCTAGCCTGAATTTCCAGTTTGCAACTTTACTACTCGTTTAATTCTCCCTGAAAAGCCAATTAACTGAAAACCACCTTATAAGACATTTTCACAAATTCCTGAACATGCTGACACAGTGGAGGAAGCTGCTAAACTGTCTGTAACAGAGCATAAACCCATAGGAGAGTCTCTTCATCATTCGTCTTTAGAATATGGCTGAGCAAAGACTTCTGGTTTGTTTAGTTAAGAAACATCCAGAAGAAGGAACTCTGTTGTGTGCTCCCAGCACATGAACAACCACCTCTTTCCAACTGGCAACGCACAAACACATGAACAAAACAAAACACAGAGGAGTCACAAGATAAATTCACACCAGCACCCATCCTGTCCATCAGCAGAAAGCAGGAAGGTCTCTGCAGCTTACACAAAGAAAAGCACCGTGCGATGGGCCAGGAAGTTCGTTAACAAAGTTTATTTTAGCAGTAACTCACCTTTCTGCAATCCTGTCTTCACTGCTGTCAGGGGAACCGTTTCAACCTGTTTGAATAGGAAAATGCACAGTTAAAACCAGAGGAATTTTTCTCCCTAGTATTCAAAAGAAAACAGTAAGTTTAAGCGGTTAGCATCTCTGAACTCAGATGGAGTCTGGCATCCCCTTCTCAGCGCCAGCCTTGGTGTCCCGCTGGATTTACTCCTAGCTGCTGCCTACGCTGACCCCGGAGCGCGGCAGCCACGCGTGCACCGGCCAGGTCCTTCCCCACGGCTGCCCTCGGCCGTGCAGATGACGGGAAAGCGTTCTCCGTGTCCAGCAGGCAGAAGCGGGGCTCTCTGGCAACCGGCCCCGGCGCTGTCGTGAACCCCACGGCTGTGTCAGCGCGAGCCGCCCCGCGGGGCTGACGCTCGGGGCGGTGACACCTCAATGCGGCAGCGACACCCCCAGCGCTGGGGGGCTGCGGGGAGCCCCTCTCTGTGCAGAGCCCTGCAAGGCGCCCGGCGCCGGCCAGCGACCGCGCAGCCGGTGTTGCAGGGCTCTGCACAGCCAGAAACCCCATCTCGGGGACGCTCAGACACTACAACCCTGCACAGCGGCTCAGGCTCCCGATCCTATGGAAGGGCAAGTTTAGGAACTGCTCTGCCAGCGCCGGTGTCACACGGCACAACTCGGCGCTGTACAACAGTTATGAAGGAAGCTGTTGCCTAAAATCCTGGTTTTAAGGTTAAGAATTACAAGTTACTTCTTTACAATGTGGTTACATATGCATGTAGAAACACATTTAGTAAATATTTAAGGATTGTTCTATAATTTTTTTAAAAAATATTTTATTTTGTTGTACAATAGGTAAAAACATACAATAGAAGGATTTGTATAGGATACATTTCGTCATACAAATATAAAATCTAGACAATCACTTTTATTTCTCCACTAGTCACTGTAACAGTAGCATTAACATTTTGTTTTTCCCATTAATTGTACTCGTTCCAGTTATAATTTTATACCAAGTTGTTGCAGACTAATTTGGGAATCAGTTGCAAGAAAACTTGACTTTGGGTAACAAATATTGTTGCATAATTGTAAGAAATTAGTAATAATTTGTTTTTAATATAACTTAATACATTCAAGGTTATGCGCATTACAGTGCATTTGTGTTTAACTTTTAGTCATACTTTTCCTGAGAAAAGCACTTCAATGTTCATAGTCTTCGTTAGCTAGATAATACGAGCACGCAAAGCTAACTGGGATCCATGAAGTTCATATTGTTGGTTCTTATACCTTTGTTAAATTAAACATTTACAAACATAAAACAACTCATCTGAAAACAGGGAGGCTGCAGCACCTCCCGACAGGGGGTTTGGGGACTCTGTCAGGGATCTTAGGCCCAGCATTTAACTCGCTTTAAAGTTTCCGCAAGAAACTTTCCGGAGTCAGAGCGTTCCTCTGCTGAACACAGATGCAAATCCTATGGCATCAAAAGAAAAATATGGGGAAAAAATGGCAACTGGGTCCACTTTCAATCTCTGAAGTGAACGAAGTGCAAAACAAAGCATAAAGGACAAAGAATAAATTAAAATAAGAGCTAAAAACATTTTTCCCCTTCCTATGTAAATCTTTAGCCTGACTGTCCCTTTTAAAAAATCCTCACTGGTAAAAGCTATACTATGAAACACTTCTAGAAGATTCTCAGGTTTCAAGTGGAAAGGCCCCTGAAGAGGGAAAATCACCCATGGAAGGAAAAGAACCAACAACTTTGACAAACTCGGTTTAATGTTAAAGTCCAGCCACTGAACTCCCCTACTCATTTCCACGCAGAATTTTGTGTGTTTTTTTTAAAGCAACAACATTTGTCTGTCTGACATCCAGATTAAAGGAATGCCCTGTACACGTTAGATCTACTTAAGGAAAATAAAAGGTATAGCCCATGAGATCTGTGTTGATGATGTCTGCCAACAGAAAGGTCTGACTATTCACCTTCAGGTCTATCATTCTTAAAGTCCATTGCAACAAGTGGTCCGATCACTCAGTCTACCTTCATTTGAAAAACAAAACCTCAATACAAACCAGCAGCTAAATCAGGAGCAAAAGGAAGGAACCTGGCGGCAATTCCATCAGGGAAATGGCTGAAACAGAACCGCTCTGCTCATGACAGCAATCTCAAGGGAAAGAAGCGGGGTCGTTAGGAGTCTTGCATCATTGCGTTCCCATTCTCCATAGCCTGACTGATACTGAGAAGATGCCACAGCAGAGTCACAGCAATGGTATTGACAAGGGGATTTCATGAAGGATAGTCCAAAACGAAACCCGATGGGGAAAAATGGAGAAAAATAAAAAGGCACCAATATAAGCCACAACATTTATGAATACAATATATTTTAACTCTCTACATGGAGGAAGCCAACCTGCTCCTTTTTGATCTTCTTCTTTGGCACAACTTCAGTGGATTTCTCAGACTCTGAGCGGGTTCGAATCGATCTTCTCTGTTGCTTCTTTTCTACAGAACCTGGAGAAGGAGAAAGGTTTCCATTATAGGAGTCCTTGTTTTATCGGGGCACAGCAAATGCTCAACCCCAAATCAACAGACACAGTGATGAAACCAAGACTTTCTCCTCTTTCCAGTGTTTTATTTTTCGATGCAGTTCCAAGCTCTTTGCCAGCTGGTGCTGCGGCTGCAGACAACACGTTCTGATCCACAGACAGAGATCAGCTCCAGGAAAAACACCAGTAACAGTGAAACAAAAAGCTGGGATCCAAGATTTTCATCACACACCTCTCGGGCACAGCCGTCACTTTGGCTGTTAACCCACCAGTCCATCCTTGGCGTCTATGGGACGGGATCCGCAATCAACTTCAACCAAAACACGCCAGAAATGCAAGATGCAAAACACGGCTCCCAAGTTCCCACTCACAGCTCCAGTGCTGTGTCCCTGCTCTGCGGGCTTTGGCTGCCATCACAACGGGCAAACACAAAACCTGCCAGCAAGAGCCACGCTACAACTGACACCATCAGCACCAGACCTGAACACTCAGCTAAAGGTGCGAGAGGTGAAAAAACTGGTCGCAAACAGGAGCGGTGATCGTGACGTGTTGTTATAACTAA